TTAGTTATGATTATGTATATATATAGTTATATATATATATAAATCATATATACACCTCCTTACTACTGGTTGATTCCTTTTCTCCATGATGCAGGCGTGCATGTCGAAACAGATCATAGCGAATATCCCTACAACGCCTACGCTATCAAATAAAATTCTGGACGCTTGTCTGCGGGTCGACAAGGTAGCCAACGGGGTACGTTTCCTCCCGGATACTTTAATTATTTGAACGTATATGCCGTGTTTGCCGTTTAGTTTGGTGTTTCATGTGTGGACTATAAGACGGATGGGATACCACCCCAAACATCACACACACATATACCTAACGGGCTGTTCTCTTATCGGTTGTATCGCATGCGCATATTCTTGGAGACGTGTGACATCTACTAAAACCCTAAACCCTAAAGCAGACAAACATATCACACATAAATACCTCATTGGCTGTTATCTGTTGCTATCTGTCGTATCGCGAGTGTACTGGAAGAGTGCCCCTATCACCTGCGGAGATACAGTGTCCCGCCACTTAGTTATGGATTAAAAACATAAGAATAGAGTATACAAGGCACGGGGCACCGGGTAGATATGCATCGGTATCTATCTGAAGGGATTGGTCCACACAGAGCCAAGTGGTATCCTCATGCACACAAACAATACAAACGTACATGTCGTATTGACCGTTTGTTGTCGTGTCGTATGTGTGTACGTCAGGAGGGGTTGATCAATGCCTTCGAGTGGTTCACCCATAGGGGTAGGTATCATCCACATACACACAAACAATACAACCATACATGTCGTATTGACCCCTTGTTGTCGTATCGTATGTGTGAACAATAGGAGGCGTTGGGTCTCCTGTCGTATTAACCGTTTGCTTTTGTATCGTACGTGTATGTGTGTACCACAGGAGGGCCTGGATAAGGCCTTCAAGTGGTTCACCCATACGCCCAAGACGAACCACATGTCCACTATGCAATACGACAAGCGACATGTGCGCATGGAGGTGCAGCCTTACACCGTCACTAAGCTAATGCGAGCCCTAACGGCTTCCGAACGGTACGCCGACGCGGCCGTGGTCTTCAAACACTGGAACAAGAAGATGGTATGTTAAAAAAAGAACCCTTGTTTGGTTGGAGGCGACTCACTTACACGGATACTGTGCTTGAGATAGTGTGGCTAGTAAACTTTTGTACGGCTTGGGGTTGGGGACAGGAAACACTGGTGTTGTAAGAAGAGTTGGTACGTATGTCCCTTGCGTGCAGACGTTGAGGTGCGTATATGGTTGGTACAGGCTGTATACACTTATTGGCGCTTGATGGCAGGTTACTGATTGTCTGCGTGTTGGACACCAGTGTGCCTTGTATGTTGGTATAAGTAAGCAGATGGTAGATATGATCCTTGCTGGCAGGTGTGGGATGCCTGGACTGTTTGTATTGGTTGTCGTATACAGGTATTGAAGTTAGATGACAGATTACCTGTGCCTGTATCAAGTTTGTCTACATACACTGCCATACCACACATCTCATCATTCATATATAATCCTGTGTCATGCGACTCTGAACCTGTATCTCACGTACCTATATTTAGTCCTACATCGTTCTACCACGTACGTACATCCCTGTTGGTTCAATCCGCCTCTCAACCTGTCGTCCTGGTACATGTCTTATTGCCATTCCATGACAAGTAAACAGTTCAGTTGATTTAATATCTCATGCGCAGGTGCACATAGAGGCACTTACATAAAGAGACCTATTGATAGTATGCACGCTTATTCCCTACACCAGGAACCTAACTTTGGAGATTTAGAAGTTCAGGGTTCTAAAAAGAGTATCTATTGATCGTATGCATGCTTATCCCTGTCCCAGTATCTCGATTTTAAGGGTTTAGGGTACAGAGTATTGATTGATTGTATACACGCCTTGTCCCTACACCAGGATCGTATTTTTAGGGTTTTAGAGTTTAGGGTTATACAAAACGTTTATTGATAGTATTACACTCTTATCCCCCTGCCAGGATATTAATTCCAGGGTTTAGGGTTATTTAAAAGCATTTATTGATCGTCGACACGCTTATCCCTACACCAGGATTTTAATTCCAAGGTTTTAGGGCTATATAAAAGTATTTATTGATCGTATAGACGCTTATCCCTACTAATGGGTTTTAGTGGGATAGGGTTGTTCAAAATTATCTATTGATCGTATACGCGTTAATCCCTAACACCAGGATATTAACTCCAGGGTTTTATGGTTATATAAAAGTATTTATTGATAGTATACACGCTTATCCCGACACCAGGATCTTGAGCTGTCAGCGTACCATGTCCTATTCGACATCGCCGCCAAAGACAGCACCCATCTGTCTGCGGGGGTTAAGCACATGGAGAAGATGAGGCAAATAGGTAGGTGTCTACAATCACTATAGGCAACATGCGTGTTGCGGCTGAAGCAAATATCTCCAACCTCGATATGCGTATAGTAGGGTCTTTATTGTCCATACCATGCCAGTTGCTTGGTGTGTACGTTTCCGTTCTTGATACTTGGGGTATGTCTGGCTAGGGTACTCTGTACTATACGCACACACCCTCATGTACGTCATGTCGTTGTGGTTGGAATCTATGTGTACTAACTAATTACAGAAACAAACACACTCTCGTACACGGCAGACGTTTATAGCATTCGTGCAGGGCTTTTACAAACACTCTTTGTCGGAATACATGCATTGTTATACAATGGTTGTAAGTTCTCATACAAGCACATTTTTTATCGGGCTAGTTGTACACTTGTAACATATGTAGGTTCATATACACACTTTTCATCGAAACACACCCACAGTATTTACATGCATGCAAGTTATCACACAGCCAGACGTTTCATTGGAATACATCCACAGATACTAGATCCATGGAAAAGTTCTCATACAAGCACACTCGTCGTTGGAATACACCCACAATTACGCATACATGACAGTTATTACACGACCACACTCTTATCGGGTTACCTACACACGCATAACATATAAACAAACACATTTTTCATCGGAATATACACATACACCCACAATTACAGCATGCATGCAAGTTCTCATGCACGCTCACTTTTCATTGGAATATACCAAACACAGGTCCTATCCCCAATGAAAAGTGCTACACGGATTTGGCAGCAGCCGCGCTGCACCACGGCAAGAAGGAGATCGCCGCCAGAGTGATGAGTTATTACGAATTGGTGAGTGCTATTATATTATGTTTCCATAGCTATTTTTAAAGTGGCCTAGTGGTGTTGGTATTATCCATGTTTGAATTGGTATACAATTCAAGACACATTCATCATATTCGTACAAGGCAGTGATCGCCGCCAGAGCGGCAAGTCACTACGGAATAGTGAGCGCAGTATTATATATATATTTACACACATATATTATGTATATATATATATATATATATAACACACACACACACACACACACACATATATATATATGTGTGTGTGTGTTATATATATTTATATATATATGTGTGTGTTATATATATATACATATATATATATATATATGTGTGTGTATGTATGTATGTATATGTATATGTATCCATAAATACCTCCTGTACTCTCAGTCTAGTCCTTTCGCACTCGTACACCGATCATACTCTAAAACGCAGCAGCCACCCTCCCACCCCTCTCTCTTTATACTCACGAGACCTTCCGACGTGATAGGCCTACATCAGCCTACGTAACTCATGCACCGTGTGTCGGCGCCTTATGCTTACTAGGCCCATACCATCATTTCAGGAGACTAATTCACCGGGGTTGTTTAGTCTCATCAAGTACTAATTACATATCATACTATATAACTCATTGGCCACGTGTGTTTAGTGCCTAAGCTTGTATTTCTAAGCTTGTATCATAATATAAGCAAATATCCCACTCAAAAAGAGTACAGGCTTCATCACAAATAAGACATACTCTATTAATAACAACTCATTGACCATGTATGTTTAATGCCATTAATTTCTAAGCTCATATCATACCTACTAACTCATTCCATGTCCATCACCACTGCCATTGGTTACTACTTCCAGGATGCCATGAAGGAGTCTGTGTTGAGTCGCCGGTTACGGGCGGAGAGTGCCGAAAAGTAGTGCACAGAAACGGTTAACGAACCGCGTTGGAGGGGGGGGGGGGGGTACTAGACGTGTTATGGATGCAATAAAGTAGTAAAACGTATAAACGTACTGGTACATTTTCTCTCGTCCAAACCTAGATTAGTAGTGGAGAACAAAACCGGTAGAGTCCTGGTACGTTTTCTCACCAAGCCTGTCTCAACCGATGTGACACGAGTAAACACCCGGACACAAATGGGTTGCCAGTGTGTAGAATAAGTGCTACAAACACAAGAAAATTGAGTACCACCGCATACGCATCCATACATCTCTACTGATCCCAGCGCCCTCAGATAGCTTTATCTCAAGAAGGGTTTTAGGGTTTAAGGTTTTTCACAAGAAGCCTGCCTGGTAACACTTATCGGGCAGGAGATGCACTGACATGTCCAATCAGAATTGACTTACACGCAGGTACATCTCTCCTCTTATGTCTCTTCTGTGCCGAGAATGCCGAGCCAACGAGTACTACAGACCAAAGGTCTAAGACTCTGTAACAACGCACGTTCTCACTTGCCTTAAAGAGAGGCGGATCCGTACACGCGTGGACTCCACTAGTTCAGACCAGACTAGATTCCCTGGCAACTGTTCACGCTCTACTCCAAGGGCTAGTGCAATAGGTAGTTCGATCTGGGCCAAACCATGATCTGCAGCCCAGTGTAAGTCGAATAGCAACCATGGCAACTGTTCATTATCTCCGCATAGCTGCACCTCAATTGGAACACATCATAGTTGAGAGCCGGGTAGTTCGGTTACCTCTACCACACTCCGCCTCCAGGTAAGACCACAGAGCAGGTGCATTCCTGTCTTGCTCCATCACATTCCTGCTATGCTCCCGCCTGCGCGCAGTGCTACATATCACACTCCACTCGTACTCGATCGCATACCATGAGTAAGCAACTGATCCCACGCCACGCGTTCAGGACGGCACGAACACTGAGGAATGCCAACAGCTGTTGCCTCTGGGCTGTCACATATTTGGTGATGTACCACACCACTCTGTGAAAGCGCTGTGTGCGTCTACCCCAAGCACTCACAAGCATGCATGGTATATTCCGGATACGTATATTCTGGTACCTGGATCTCCAGGCCAAATCGAGCTACGCGCTTATGACCAGCGATTCAAATACATCTGAGATCAACCATCGAATGACAAACTATCCCGTACCAGTCCCCATTCTCCCTGTCTAGTCCGCGACAGCCACCTAGTTTTATCGGCGCCTGAGATACACTAATAATAAAAGGGACTGAATATCTATCACCAGCCTCTGTTGTCCTGGCCTAGAGTTTACCACAGTCCTCTACAACCACTTTCTTGGTCGTCTTGCCGCTTTGCGAACCCACGGCCTCAATCTTTCGGACCACATCCATCCCTTGCACCACTTTACCGAACACCACGTGCTTGTTATCCAGCCTGTTTTAAGCATGGGAGAAGCAATACCATATGTTTTAGTGAAATGTTTGTTATCCAATCTGATCCGAGCATGAACGAAGTGATAACAGACACATGTTAATATTTGGTGCATAGCCAGCAATTGGGAGGTTAGGTCATGATATGTATGAGCGTTTGGTATCTCACGCGATCTGAAAGAATACATACTATCCAGCCTATCAAGCATGAAACAAACAACACCAACACCTAAAAAAACAATAATAACAACAACAACAACAACAACGGTTATGGTTTATTTGAGTGGTTGCTATCTTATTTGTACTTATGGGCGAGGCAATGATTGAACTTGTGGGTTAGCCCATACATTCTAATTAAACACCAGATGTGTTGGGGTGTTTCCAGCCAGTTTGTGATTCAACAATGAGACCCAAGGCCGGTATAAGGTAGTCATATAACAGGTGTACCGCACACATTAAAAACGAACAAGTGATCTGTGATGGCATTCTAAAGTGAAGAAGTATCCGTACTATTTAATCGGTGCACCCAAGAACGGGCTGATAAATTAAGAACGAGACCGACATATCTGGTGTGTACGTGATGGAACAAGAAGGTTCAATACTTGCTACTCTCTCTTAAGCAACCACTACCTACAACCTAATCAGAAAGTCTACTTGTTCAGGGATATTGCGGGCGTAGTTCTAAGTGCGTAGGGCATGGTGCCCTATAGAATCTACATGCGGGTCTATGGATTGATTCCATGTGCATGCATTGTAAATCTTACACGTCTCACAAACTCCAACGGGGGAACAATGTGACTCAATTGGGAATACTATTTTTCAGTTACAAACTCCAACGGGGGGTTTCGACTTTTACAAGTGGAGAGGAGAAGCAAAACAATGAAGATATTACAAAGGGTATTTTAAAAAAAAGAATATAATGATATAATAGTATAAAAATAATAATTACAATAATAGTAATAATAATAATAATGATAATAAATATAAAAATAGAATAATAATATATATATATATATTGTAACTGAAATATTTATATACATTGTAACTGAAAAACAGTATTCGAGGACAAGACATCGATGTGACTAGTGCATGAGCACCAGTCCGTTCCCTCCGCAGGAATGTGCAGTTAAACGCCTACTCAAAATCAACGCTACGATACAGTGCCGTTGACTACAAATACAGCCGTTTATATCCAGCCTTATAGACAACGACATGAATGTAACTAGCTATGCGAGCCCAAACAATACGTATACCTAGCAGATACATACAGACATACGGCTACCAAACCACAAGGGTACAATGCAGTAATCTTTGACTACCTAGACATGAACAGCATAAAGCCCTTCACATCAAGATAAACAGACAATGCATCAATGCCACTTGACTAGTACATACCGGAATAACTACATAGACATGAACAGCATTACGCCCTTCACATCATGACGTACAGACGCACAGACAATGCATCATTGCCACTTGACTAGTACGTACCAGACTAATTGCATAGACATGAACAGCATGAAGGCTTGACTTGTACGTACCAGTCAGTCTTTTCCGTGCAAATGAAGAACTGTGAGGCGTTGGTGTTTGGACCAGAATTGGCGCACGATAAGATACCTGCAAGGTGGCATACAAATAGATGATATGTGTACATAAAGATTGAGATCATGAGTATACAGATACAAACATATGATAAGTATACATATAATAAAGATAATAAGTATACAAATACAAACATTAAGTATACATTTAATAAAGATAATAAGTATACAGATACAAACATGTGGTAAGTATACATATAATGAAGATAATGAGTGTACAGATACAAAAAAATGTTACTGCCTGTTAAGGAATATATGAATATATATGCGTGCACGCCGCTTAATTCCCAACCTATATCCTTTCAGATGCAACTGAGGGTATAGACAAAAGCAGCAGTGGGCTTATATAGAGTTTAGAGCTATTCAAATAAGGAGTTTTGGATGATAAGTATACAGATACAAACAGATGTTGTTGTCTGTTATTGTATATATGCGTGTGCACGCCAGTTTATTTTCAACCTATATCCATTCACATGCAACTGAGGGTATAGACAAAAGCAACAGTGGACATACACATGGGCTTATAACCACTGAAACAAGAAGCACAACCAATAAAACTAACGCGTACATATACAACAACCACATACCCGGGCCCGTGTGCTTAAGCGTAAAGTTCTCATCGTCGAACTTCCCACCGTAGATCGACTTGCCACCCGTGCCGTTGTGCTTGGTGAAATCGCCTCCCTGCAGCATAAACTGGGGTATAACCCTATGGAACGTGCTGCCCCTGTAGCCGTATCCCTTGCTGTGTGTGCACAAGCCCAGGAAGTTGGCAGCCGTCTTGGGTACCACATCCTTGCGCAGCTCTATAGTAATACGCCCAACGGCCTTACCACCTACGGACATGTCCAAGAAAACGATGGGATTGCGTCCTTCTGAGGTCTGGTCGTCAGAGGCTTTGTCTGCGGATGCCCTGTCTACCGCCATCGCCTCGCCATTCTCCAGTGTTGCTGATGTTCGAGATAAAGAGGGTTTAAGGGATAGGTAACACACACACACACACACATATATATATATATATCAATAAATAAATATAAATATAAGTGTTTGCGTACGAGTGTCGGCGTGCGTATCGTATGTGTGTGTGGGGAGGGAGAGGGAACAAGGGCGAGTATAGGCATTAAATGCTGGCAGCAAGACGCCAAATTACTATGACGACATCATTCAATGCCTCTTGCACGCCAAGTTTGCGACATTAATACCACAGCAGTCCTGGTGGTATAAGAAACACATATACCACACGCTTGCATTCTATAACAACCCGACATTCATGCTAGACTAGAAAGAGAATTAGGCATATGGGAAGGATGTGATTTTGTGTACAGTTATATGGAAATAAATTATGATTTCAGGTGTAAAACCCCAGCTTTTTGGAAAATATATTTCACCATGGTCGGTGACATGAACTAATGCTATTGGGGTATGTGGAGTATAGCTATACCGGCAATACTAACTGGGAAATATAAAGCCCATGACTGATTTGATATTGCACTAAGCACGTTGCGATTTAATCTGACTATCATGGATCATTGTTTTCAAGCACA